TTTATACTATATTTTTTATTATTTTTACCAAAAGAATAATAATTTATTTTTTTATAATATATTTAAATATTAATACTTTATAAATATATATATAATTATAAAATAATATTTTAACATAAAATAAAATAAAATCTAATATTACCAAAATTAAATAGCCATTATTTTTTATAATATAAAAACTAAAAAAAAAATAAAAGTAAATTTAATATAAAAATATTAAAAGTTATACTTAATAAATTATTATTATATTAACGCATTTTTAAATTTGATTTTAAGGGAAAGTAACAATTTATTATAATTATTAAACTGGTGCTGGTGTATCAAGTGACCTTGACCTTGATCATGTGATCATATTCTTAGTATAAGTACCATTTATGGTCGCACACACCCATTTTACATAGTATCATCCACTTTTAATACAAGTCATTCCTTTTTTTCATCATTTTCATCATTTAAAAAGTCCTTGATATCAGGTTTAATAAGGCTTGATCTAAGGTTAAAACGTTTAAGTCTTATTCATTATACATTAAATATATTATAATATACCATAATTATAATATATATTATTTATTTTATTATATTATTTTAAAAAATTAGTTAATAAGTTTTAAGTATTTATTAAAATATTTAAAAATTTTAAAAAGATATATTAATTTATGGTAAATATTAATAATAAAAATAATAATAATAATAAATAAAATATTAATTAATATTATATCGATTATAAATATTATTATAATAATAAAAATAATAAATATAATATTTATTAAAAAACGTTAAAATATTGGAAATATTATTGTTAAATATATAAGAAGAAAAAATGTTGGTTAATTAAATATTTTAAAAAAAAAACGTAAAAAGGTTAAAATTTAATGGAAAATTAAAAGAAGTTAAGTAAAAAAAAAATTATATAACTTTTTTGGTTAAATATAAAAATATTAAAGATTTTAACGTAAAAAAAATTAAAAAATTTATTAAAAAAGAAAAAAAATTAAAAAATTAATATATAATTATAATTTATCTTTTAAATAAATTTTTTTAATATTAATTTAATTTATAAATATTAATTTCCGAAAAATTTATTAATAAATTTAATATTAATATTATATTTATCTTTAATTAATATATAAAAAACGTATTTTAAAACATTATATTAAATATAAAAATAACATAAGTATTAATTATAAATAAAAATTAATATTAAACTTTTATTAATAAAAACTTAAAATATTATAATAATTTAAATATTAATTGCGTTAATAAAATTAATATATATTTTAAAAATAATTTATTTATTAAATTATTAAAAATTATAATAATTAATATTTTATTTAATAAAATAAATTTTTATATAATAAAAATGGATATTTTTTTTTTATTAAAGATATAAATTATTTAAAAATATATTTTAATAATATTATTAATTAATTAATTAATAAAAATGGCGTAATAATTAAAATTATATAAAAATAAAAATATTTATAATTTTAGTTTAATAATATTATTTATTTTATAAAAATAAAATTACATTATTTATGATGGTTGTGTGACACTGACATAAAGGCACCTTACTGATAATAAGGTGCCCTTATCGCCGATAAGGAAGAAAGAAATAAGATACCCGATTCTACTGGATGGGGGGGTCGGGTATCCACTATTATTGGAATATAAAAACACGCTATACCTAGCTAACCTTAGATAAATTCTTCCTTCCTTAAACATCTTAATACACTAGTCTCAATACCATTGATTTATTTACTATTATTTTATTGTTATTATTGTTATTCTTATTTACGTACGTACCTACCAACAATTTATATATACATTTTAATTATTTATTTATTAATAAATTTTATAATTTATTTAATAAGGTAAAATATAAAGTAAATATTAAAAATTTTAAAAAGATTAATAAATTTTATTATTATTATTAAATTAAAAGTAAAATATTTTAATATTTTAAATTTAACCTTAAAGATTTTAATATAAATTTTAATTATAAAATAATTACTAATATTATATATTTAAATAAGAAATTAATTTTTTATATAATTAATATAATAATAAGATTTTAAACAACTTAATTTATAAAAAATATTTTTATTAAAAAAACTTAAAAAATGTTTAAGTAATATTAAATTAATATATATTTAAAACCATTTAATATCTTTAATTATAATATAAATATTAATTTTAATAATATTAAATTTTATAATAAGGTTTATCTTATAAATATTATTTATAATTAAGTATTTATTAAAATATATTAATTAATTGGTAAGGTAAAAAAGTATTATAACTTGATTTAAAGAATATACGAAATTATTTCCGAAAAAATATAAAGATTAAAAGAAGTTTACTTATAAATAGCAATTAAAACCGTAAATAATATAATAAATCCAAACGATTTTATTTTTATTTTATTAATTTTTAATATTTATTTAAAAATTAATATAAATTTTCTTTTTACATAATTATAATTGGAAAAGGTTTAAATAATATAAAAAGTTAAAGCGTAAAAAACTATCCGCAATATTATAAATATATAAAACGAACTAAATACTTTAAAAACATTATTTATATTATTATTTATTAATAGTAATATATTAGTTTATTATAAAAAAGGCAGATAAGGAAGATTATATAAGGTTATTATTGTTACGGATAAAGATGTAATTATTATATTAAACGCGTTAAAAAACATCTTGATTTTTTAAAATATATATATTAAGTTATATATATAATTAAAAGGAAATTTTAAAATCAAATTATTATTATTATTATTTAAATTTGATTTTAATAAATATAAAATTATATTTAATAAAAATTTAAATATATTTATTATAAATATTATATATATTAATATAAAAAAAAACAACTACGTTTTTATTTTAAAATTATAATTAAATAGAAAAATAGTTACGCTAAGAAAATTATATAAAATTTTTAATATAAAAAAATTTAATATTTTTTTTATTAATAACATCTTATAATTTAAAATATATAATAAAATATTTTATTAAAATATAATTATATTTAAATTTTACATAATTTACAAAATTAAAGGGAAAAATATATTAATATTATATAAGAAATTATAATTTATAATATAAAATTATAAAAATTTCGATAAAAACTTTATTATAATATATATTTTAACAATTTAATGCATTAATTAACGTTTAATATTAATTTTAACATTTATATTATAATAATAAAATATAAAAGTAATAATTTAAAATATTATTATAACATATATATAATTTAAGATCCTTATATAAAGGATAATATATATATACTTACTTTTAAAATTAAAAAATAAATATTTTAAAGGAACACTATTACAAGTAATTAAATTTTTATATAAACTTATAAAATTAAATACATATTAATTTAAAATTTATTTTAAATATTATTAAAAAAAATTAAGTATAATTTTATTAATATTTAATCCTTATTCATTAATTATAAAATTAAATTAATTATTTAAAATTATAAATTTATAAATAAATAATATATTAAATATTAATATAGCGGAATTTTTAACCGAAGAAGATAAGATTTTTATAAAAATAAATATTAAAGTAAAATTTTAAAAGGTTTTAAAATCGGACGTAATTAAAGATTTTAATAAATTATAATTTATAATTTATAAAAAAATAATCTTTATTATTTAAAAAAGATAAGTTAAAAAGTTAAAGGAATTAAATTTAAAGATATTTAATATAATTAAGAAATTTATAAAATAATATATAAAAGATATTTATATTACATTTATTTATTAATTTAAAATAGCCTTTAATTATTTTATAATAGTATAATATATAAAATTTAAATTAAAAAAATTAAGGTTTTTAATATAAAGATTAAATGGTAAATAAATTATAAAAATTAAAACCTTAAATATATAAAGTTAAATTTATAAAATCTACACTTATATATTTTTATAAATAGTTTATTCGTTAATAATAAGGATATAAACTCTTAAATTAATTATATTATAATATTTAATAATAAAAAACCTATAAATTATAATAATAAAATATAATTTATTAACAATATTATTTATTAATTATTTATTAAATATAAATGTGTTATATATAATATATTTATTAATAAAATTTATAAAATAATATAAAGATTTAATATAAATTACATTATTTATAATATTATTAATATTATTTTAAATTAATTAAATTTTTTAATAATCCTTTTTATTTTATGTACGAATTTTTTTTTATTATATTAATATCTTATCTAAATAAATAATATTAATAAAAAAATTAATAATTAATTTTATAATTTTAAGATAATTATATAAAAATAAAGAAATTAATAATATTTAATAAATATATAATAATTATAATTTAATAAATGTAATAATAAAAACGTTTTTAAATAAGGTTATAAAGATATTAATAAAAAATAACTAAATTAATTTACGTTTAAAAAGATAAGTAAAACGTAAAAAAATTAAAAGCAATATTAAATTAATATAATAGTAAATTATTAAGATTAACTACTAATACCAACATAAACGTAAATTATTATAAAAAATAAAAAGAGATATATTAGAAATAAAATGGTATAATATATATTAACATAACTTTATTTATAAAATAATTCTTAATTTAAACTATTACGTTTTTATTTTTTAACCGTTATAAATATATATAATTATAAATGCGTAAAATTATAAATATATAATAATATATATTTAAATTAATATAAATATACGTTAATATAAATTTTAAGGTTTTATTTATTTAATTATATTTTATAATTAATTAATTACAAAAAAAAAATAAATAATAGTTATATAATATTAATATAAAAATATTTTATTAATAATAAAATGCCCTTATTACTAATAAAAAAAAAGAAATAAAATATCCGATTTTATTAGGTAAAAAAGGTTAGGTATTTATTATTATTGAAATATAAGAATATATTATACTTAACTAGCTTCAGATAGATTCTTCCCTCCTTAGACATCTTAATACACCAGTCTCAACACCATTGATTTACTTGCTATTGCTTTTATTATTATTTCTATTACGTACGTACCTACCAACAGTCAGGCTCAGTCCAACAGTTACACCTCACTATCCTGAGCCATCGTATCTTCCGCGATGCTTTCTACGAGGCCCCGCGTGCTATTGTCGCCGGCTTTGCTGCAAACCGGATCCCTTCTGATATTCTTCCCTTCCTTATCACGCTTCTGGAACTTACTGAGATCCCGTATACCTATGGAAATATTATTATAAACATGCAAGACCGCTTACAGAGAAACATAGAAGAAACCAACGCCGCGTCCCTCGTCGATTTCTCGCTGTCAGATTACACGTTCATAAGTAGACAATATGCGGCTTCCGAGTCGCTAGCACAAAGCCTAGCAGATAAGGTGACCCCTATTCTCGCAGGAGGGGCAGGATATTGGCCCGAGGATGACCTAGACTTTAGTAGGATTAATGAGCTAAATGGGGAAAAGAAAAGGGAGCTCCTGGATAAATGGCAAACCGAGGTATCCCTAGCACAACTTTCGCTACTTGACCTTGATGACGACTAAACGAGGAGAAACTTCTCATAAAATAAAGGGGGAGCTACCCAGATCTACATCTAGTTTACTACTGTTACATAAGATAAGTGTCCAAGCGATATATACGGTATTGGCCTAGAGACTATGCCAACAAATTTGTTCCTGTGTATAGAGTTGGCGAGTATTTTAACCCTCTGAGGCTAGATACAGTTCGATATAAATGATTTCTCGTATGTGAACTGAAGAAAACACCATGAAAATTCAGCTTCCCTTTATTAGTAAACCTTTAAAGAAAGCAGGATAATTTCAGGGGAAACCAGAGATCATTGTATGTATTATGCGCATAAAACATATTGTGGGTTTTTCTTAATTATTCTGGGTTCCTTTTTCTTCGACTTTTAGAGCCACTAGAAATATTCTCCAGCTATGCAAGCTACTCTGCGAATTCCATCTTTTCACCGTTGATGTTGAAGATCTGAAGCTTCCCATCCTCTCCTACTTCACGACGGCCCTCGGCACAACCTACGTGGACGAGAGTTAGCAACAACTATTAGCATGATGAGATGGAAAGTGCTCGAGCAAAGTTTTAGAGGCAATGATTCCTCGGCCACCAGGAACAAGAACGGCAGTTTCTCAAAAAGGGGTTGAAAAAATAAGTGTCACGAAACATTCTACGTACAGCTGCTGTACTGTAAATAGAGCAAGTTAGCAACGGTAGTAATATTAACCTCGTTTAGACGTCTTGAAGACGTAGGGGGAGAGCTGTATACTTACGACACCGTAGCAGGGTTGGTTTAAACAATCGTTGATTTCGCACGTCAGGCAGCCAGGAATACAGCACCAGCTCTGGTACTGACGTGTTGCAAGCGCGGGCGGCAGGGAAGGCCCGGCGTTGGTAAGGAGAGCCAGGGGCATGATGGCAATGGCGCCGAGGAAGTAGATGATGGTGGAGGAATGCATCGTGAGTGAACTTCTCTGTGTAGCTTAGAGCTGTGTGAAAGTAGATAGATTTATTTATATCCTGGTGTGTCGTTGATCTTCTTGATGAAAGCTCTGGAGAATTTTGTTGACAGGACATGGAATGAATGCTCTTCCTTATATACAGACTTTTGTAAACAATTACTTGCTACTGCAGATATCCTCTACGAGACTAGCCATATCTTTCGTATCTGCTGACAGTATTTGATTGGAACAACTGACCCTGTTTTCACAAGCTACTATCAGTTTGTTCTCTGGAATGGAATACGATAGATAGCATGCTCTCATCTGCTGCTAACATTGGTTGGCCAATAGACCCCAAGCAATCAACTAAGCAAGGAGTCAATTCTATTCACCACTTACATTAACTAACGAGCTAGTCGATAGTCGAGCAGCACACTATCCCTTGATGAGATTCCGGGGTTCAGAGGGGTTATCCTCATGACTCCTGATAACGGACGAGTAGGAAATTCCCGGGAAGTCTGGAGCTTTACTAAGTATAGCAGCTGACTCAATTCTCTTTCTGTTTAGTACAGATATTTCGAGTGAATAGAAAGAGCAGCCTCTAGTAATATATCCCACGGAGGTTAAGGGGTAAACAATACGAAGCAGTCCCATTTGAGGCGGGCTAGATACTTTCGATTTTCCTCTCGTACATTTCACGTCTCACCCTTTGGACGTGGAAATATTCACTAAATTGCTGCTTGATTGTGACTCTAAAGAGAAAAGATGAACTCGGCCGGCATGACAATCTTATTGTAATTTGGGTCATCAGGCCTGCGGCGATAATAAACAGAAAGAGAAAAGAAAGAGAGAAAATCGAAACTAGAAAATAGAAAAAAGGATAAAAAACAAAAATAGCAAAAAAGCTGGAACCTAGGACTCGATCCCGAATCGTTTGTCCAGAACAAGCTGGCCTTTGCTTGCCGCCCCTCATGGGGATCGAACTAGATCCTACGAAAAACTCCTCGAGGAATTGTTTCTATCCCTACTTAATTGCCACTGCACCACGGCCATGTTGGATTCGCAGCGCAGATCAGGGGTGACAGAATGGTCACCTAAGGGTCTATTTAAGTCGACAGCGGGGTACGCGATATTGCCTGGCAACCAGCAGGTACAACACCAAGGTATGAAGTACATTGTACTGGTACATCTTTACAGCACTTAATTCCCGCTGTATTATTTATTCTTCGTCTAGTTCTTCAGTTGCCGGCATTGGATCTAACAGGTATCGAAAAAAGTCGTTAACCCAGACTCCGGATCTCGGGTATGTCCTCTAAAGCGTAATGGTATGTCTGCCTATCTGCCGTTCCCTAATCCCTTTACTCCCCCCATTATCTTCGTATTGCCACCAAACCCCTATTCAAGTCTTGCCTAGGCCCCTGGCTTGATATTGCAATGCTTGGTATACACCCCTATATTCCACCGGGACGTGCAACCGATGAACGCCGTAAACCATTATTCTGACCTTAGCCATACAGTCAACGGCACCTCAGTCCAGACTCCTCCAGCATATGAATAACAACGAGCAAACTTCCACCTCCCCATCCCCATCACACGCCCCCCTCCGCATACAACCCCTCCCCCCGAATCCACCCCGCAACATCCTCACTAACCAACCTCCCCAACGCCTCCCAGTCCCTCCTCAATACCGCCTCGCGCACCTTCGTACTACTAACAACCTCCTCCCCACCCGTCCTCCCCTCCACCATCTCCACCCTCTCCGCCCACCCCATCCTCCCACCCACGCGCTCCAGCCCACCCTCCCGCAACTCCCGCACATACGCCCTCTGCGCCGCAGCATCGCCCCACTCCGCGTCCGCGCGCATCGTCACCCGCAGCTTCGAGCGCGCGAAGAACGGGTCGAGAGACACGGCCATGGACCCGTCGGGGTAGTACTTCGGATTGAAGATCCGGATGAGCGTGTCGAAGCCCGTTAGGAAGATTTGCTCCGTTGCGCTGGGCTCTCGGGCATGGTAGAAGTCTGATGCGGATATGGCGCGTGCTTTGGCGTGGAAGTACGGCTCCGTTGTTACTGCTATGTCCACGCCGTCGCACTGGTGCGTATGCCTTGTTTCTGCTGCTGTCGAGCGCAGTAGGTCCTGCGCGAAGATGTACATCATGGCTAGCCGTTGCGGGAAGGCGGCTGGCTTGGGTGCTTTGTCTGCGTTGTTGATGGCGAGGAGGAGGAGGACTCGCGATTTATCAGTGCTGTCATTGCTGGGCTGTCCGTGTTCTAAGAGAGCGGATAGTGCCATATGTTGATGGGCGAGAGTGGGCGGGTTGAAAGATGAGTCGAGAACAAGAAGGGATTTTGGAGGGGTTTGAGGTGGGTGAAGAGCTGGTGCTTCAGCTGCCGTGGAGGATAGGGAAGAATGGGTTAAAGAACATAATACGCGGAAAGTTGCATTGGATATCTGGTAGCTCTTAAGAGCTTGGGTGAAGACGGGAACGAGATTTGATGGTAGTCGAGCCATTAGGGAGTCATCTGTTGATGGCATTTCTATTACATTTGTCTAAGGGGTGTATACAAGATTAAAGCATGGCTTCAAGTCGCTGATGCTATATGAGAGTGATATAAGATATAAAACATAATAGAATTATATATAGGTAACAACACCTTGTATATTGATGCTGGCCATGTTAGTGAAAGGGATGATGTACGATGATAAGAGGCGGGATGAGAAAAGTGGGGATGAGGGGAGGTTCCGTTAATCATGGCATGCGGGTAATCCCGTTAAAGTGGATACATAAATTAGGTACATAAATACCTTATAACCGGGGTTCTATTTTACCTTCTCGGAACTGCCTTCTTAAAGACCTAGACTTGAGAGGCTATTGATGGCGCCATTATTAAATAGATATGATAATATAGATAACTTGTACATATGCTTTCTAGCATGATTTAATTAATAGGACGCATGCTTTCCCTTGAATAAAATAAGTAGGTAGCCATAGTAACCATAGGGTATCGTAAGTGATCAACCAGTATTCCAGAACGCCTTAGTGCTTCAATATGCGATCCTGTTAAAACACAGCTCGCCCGCAAAATACTTTCAACGGATTTCCGGCTCTCTCATGAAGTCGGGGATACTCAATCCACCATCTCCGGGCGTATACTTCTTGGACTTTGCTTTTCGATCTCGCTTGTCTGCGGCGAGCTTTGATATCGCCTCTTCGTCGTGGTCGTGAATGTTCATTGCCGCCATTCTATCGCGGTAGTCATCGATCGCCTCGACCATATCTTCTACAGGGTTGTTCTCTGCAGTATCTGCGCTGTCGTCCAAGGCGTAGACTTCCACTCCGCGTATGTGCGTATCCTTTCCGTTCTGGTGATTTTCGAGGACCGTCACTCGAATAAACCAGCAGCACAGAGAGTTACCATCATGTCCGCCACCGGCTCCGTTGATAGGTACGTCGACCCAGCCTTTAGGCTGGTTAAATTCCATTATAGTGTACGGGATATTCATGTTGGGGCTAAAGCCGGCGGTAATTTGGAGCTTAGTAGGCGTGTAGCTCTCATCAAGCTCGTAATCTAGATAGAGTCTAAGCTTGCGTATCTCTACGCGCTTGATAAAATGAATATTTAATCGATGAGGTTGTGGCCCATCGGACCTAGATAGTACTATGTTAATGGGACCAGCGCGCAGAAGCAGGTGAATGCTTACTGCCAGAATTGGTTGACATCGTCATCCCGAAGTTCCTTGACGCCGCAGCCGGGTTTGTAGCTGCTGACCGTAAAACTAGCTAGGTTACTGATTTCCTTCAAACCGATTAGGGACGCGTCAAATGCGGCGTCTTCGTTATGACCTTCATCTTCGTCGTCCAATTCTTCTTGATCTATCTCGTCCCCCTCAATGCCCTCGATATCATGACCCTCGTCATCTTCGCCTTCATCTTCTTCAAAATGCTCGGTGTCTTCTTCGGTAGGAGCTGCAGAATTGTAAGATGATGAAATAGACGAACTATGAGAAGATACGTTGCTTCTTCGGCCTTCTTCAATAACAGCCTCACCGCGAATCCGAAGTAGTACGCGCCATAGCTCATTCGGGGTCACTGCCGGCTGTGGCAGGCCATATCCACCTGGAAACGAAGCTGAACGGTCTCTTCCGAAGCCTGGAATATCCATGGTGTATATGGGATGGACCATGAGGGTGAGGAGTGGATAGGGAATGGAAGATGGTGAAAGGAGATACGATAAATGAAAAAAAGCAAAATTCAAACGTGAAATTCAAGCTGACCTTGAGGTGTCTGTAAGCCCATTGTCCACTGCAAGTCACGCCTTGCACTACCATTTAAGGCAGAATATAGGCCGGTTGTCTCGACAGCTCCGGCGCGGCTCGGGTCTCCGGGGTAACCTGGTGATGCCCGGGAAACGCGATCTGGTCGCATCAAACGCCGTCGAAACTCTTCTTGCTGTTGACGGATGCTGGCAGGGTTTCTAGCAGTGCCACCGCTGCTGCCGATGTCTTGAGGCTCCATTATTAAGCAGATAATAAGACACACAAGTTCATCTAAGGTTAATGAACAATCCTTCAGTCTTTCAAATTGGTTTCCATGAATATGGGCTTATATAATGTAAATTTGGCGACATGAAATTATGAAATCATGAAATCATGAAATCATTAATGTTTTTGTATACTTAGGTACGAAGGTATCAAGCGGGTTCGATTTGTGACTAGCGCCGCTTTTACTGCTAATAGGTATACCTATATTATACATGAGGTATACATTTATATGCTATATTCATCTAACGAACTAACGAACTAACGAACCAACGAACTAACGAACTGTAGAAATCCTATCAATCCACGCCTTTTACACTACATCTAGCCTTCCATTTTGAGTTTTTATTACTAGCATGTAGATTTATGTGTAAGACATAAGGACTACTGCTGTCAATTAATTGGCTATTCATTCTATTACCCTGGAGTGTATACATACTTTATAGCATGTGGGTACTTTCATATATGCTAACCGCTAATACCGGACCAGTACATAATAAAATACAGTGCTATGTAACTTTATAGTTAAAGCACTTGAAAAAATGGCATTTACTTCGGCTGATGTCATTGGGCGGTCGTACCGGCTTGCAGTTCCCCGAAACTTTGGTGTTACAAACACCAGAGACTTGCTGAGGGGCAACGTGGTTCGCTCTAGCTTAAGACCTTCTCTCATTTCTGCAACATCCACAGCATCTACAGCATCTACAGCATCTGTCCTCAAAAACCCAACACGACATTATAACAACTCATCTTCATCTATCTCACCAATATCCGTCATACGAGTTGATTGCTTTTTCAAGACATTGGACAGGGGTCGTTTGACACCTGCGCCCTACCGGTCGTTCTCTTCTTCAACACCTGCCAAATCTGTCGCTCTAACAGCTCTTGATTCGCAACAGCATTCTCAACCCAGATCTAAGCCCCACAGCAACTCTCCCAATTCTCATTTCTACCTGCAACGTGGGGCTGCCCCTCTACATATAAATACGCCAGCATATCTACCCAACAGCCGGTCTTTCTCTTCGTCGTCCCCAGTCTGTTGTTCAGCCCTCATACCCTCGTCCATCATGGCAGACCGAGACATTCTTCCCTCTACCGTAGTCCCCTCACATTATGATCTCTCTATATCTTCCTTGAAGTTCGACGACTGGTCTTTCCAAGGAACAGTAGACATCCAAGTCTCGATCACGGAACCTGTCAAGGAAATAGTCATCAACTCTATTGAGCTCAAGCTACACACTGCCAAAATCACAGTCGACCACACCAAGTCCTCTCAGTCCCTTGAGACTACCACCTTCAACTATGACGAAAAGAAGCAGCGTGCAACCCTCGTCTTCGCTGAGGAGGTTCCTGCCTCTCAAAAGGCTACTCTCCATATTACATTCCAGGGAATCCTGAATAACGATATGGCGGGCTTCTACCGGAGCAAGTACCAACCTACAGTTCCCGCTACGGCCTCAGTACCTAGAGACGACACCTTTCATTATATGCTAAGCACCCAATTCGAGGCCTGCGATGCCCGCCGGGCTTTCCCTTGCTTTGACGAGCCTCGGCTAAAGGCAACATTCGACTTTCAAATCGAAATCCCCGAGGATCAGGTTGCCTTGTCCAACATGCCCGTTAAAAACACCTCGAAAGTCAAAGATGGCTTTGTAGTAGTTTCCTTCGAACGGACCCCTGTCATGAGCACATATCTTCTTGCCTGGGCTGTTGGCGATTTCGAGTACGTCGAAGCACATACCGAGCGCCGATACAACGGAAAACAAATCCCCGTGCGTGTATACACCACTCGAGGACTCAAGGAGCAAGGCCGATTCGCTTTGGAGCATGCCCCTAAAACCATCGACTTATTCTCGGAGAGCTTCGGTATCGATTACCCCCTACCAAAGTCCGACTTGCTTGCCGTTCACGAGTTTACGCACGGAGCAATGGAGAACTGGGGTTTGGTTACTTACCGTACGACGGCCGTTCTTTTCGACGAGAAGACCTCGGACGCTAGATTCAAGAATCGTGTCGCATATGTTGTTGCTCACGAATTAGCCCACCAATGGTTTGGCAACTTGGTCACTATGGACTGGTGGGACGAGCTCTGGTTGAACGAGTCGTTTGCTACCTGGGCGGGATGGTACGCCGTCAACGAATTCCACCCCGACTGGCAAGTCTGGGCTCAGTTTGTCAACGAGGGAATGGAATCAGCGTTCCAACTTGATGGAATGCGCTCATCTCACCCTGTTCATGTCCCAGTCAGAGATGCTCTAGACGTAAACCAGGTTTTTGATTCCATTAGCTACCTCAAGGGATGTTCTACATTACGAATGTTAGTCAATCATCTCGGAGAGAAGACTTTCCTTCAAGGAGTCGGGGCATATCTGAAGAAGCATGCTTACGGTAATGCCAAATCTGAATACCTCTGGGAGGCGCTGGCCGAGGCCTCTGGAGCCGATATCACTGGTCTTATGGGTAACTGGATAGAGAAGATTGGTCATCCCGTATTGACTGTTGCTGAGGAGCCTGGGCAGATATCGATTAAGCAGAATCGATATCTATCAACAGGCGACGTGAAGCCAGAAGAGGATCAGACCATATGGTGGGTACCGCTCTCCTTGCAAGGTAAGGTAGGGCAGCAGGACATTCAGAACTTGGCCCTCACTGAAAAGAACACGACAATCCGGGATATTGACGACAACTTCTATAAGATTAATAGCAACGCCACCGGTTTCTACCGAACAAACTATCCTCCAGCTCGCCTTGCGAAGCTTAGTAAGCAGCTTGATCGCTTGAGTAACGAGGACAAGATCTCCATTATTGGTTCTGCGACCGACTTGGCCTTCTCCGGATACGGTACCACACCTGCTCTTCTCTCTTTCGTTGAAGGCTTCGGGGGCGAGACAAATCAGCTTGTCTGGGCTCAAGTTCTGGACTCCCTCGGACTAGTTAAGACTATTTTTGGCGACGACGAGGCTATCAAACGCGGCCTCGAGCAGTTTACTCTAAAGCTTATTAGCAAGGCAGTAGAGGAGATTGGTTGGGAATTTCCAGAAGGCGAAGATTATCTTAAGAGTTTACTACGAAAAAGACTTTTGCTTAGCGCCGCAGCAAACAGTCATCCACAGTAAGTTGCCTTGTTACAAGATCATATACCTCGCCCCCCCTATGATTAAGACTATGCTATGTTTCATACACCCCGTTTCACCAGCTAATAAACGGTTCAGAGTCGTTGAAAAGGCCAAGTCATTATTCGAGGCTTGGGCTGATAAGGGAACCCCCCTACATCCGAACTTAAGGACCGTAGTCTACCGTGCTGGTGTGAAGACCGACCCAGCAAAGGCAGTGAAGGCTCTCAAGAAAGAGTGGTTCACCGGAGCATCTTTTGATGGAAAATTGGTCTGCCTTGCATCGCTAGGTCACGTTCGTGACCCCGACCTTATTTCTAACAGCGTCCTGCCCTTCAACAGCGACCTATCCCCACCAGCCCCTCCGTCCGAATCAGTACCTTCAGGTGACATGCATACTATTGGTAGCACCTTGGCGACTAACTCAGTTGCCCGTCCAATCCAGTGGAAGTACATCCAGGATAATTGGGAGAAGTTAACAACCAAGATGGCGAACCCGGTCGTTCTTGACCGCTTCGTCAAGCTCGCACTTTCGAAGTTCACTGATACCAAGTACATCGACGAAATTGACAGCTTTTTCAGGGGCAAGGACACGAGCGCCTTTGACCGAACCTTGGAGCAGGTCAAAGACTCTATCCGTGGCCGAGCCGCCTACCGCGAGAGAGATGCTCAGGTCATCAAGGAGTGGTTGAGCGCCAATGGTTATCTCCAGTAGAGAGAACTCTTGTCCAAGGTGTCGTCGGTATATCTTGCGAAACTCATGAAAACCCCTGCGTGAGTTGCAACATTGAGCATTATATAAGATGAGACTATCACATCAAAGCTATAAGCCATACAAAAGAATAGTAAATAAAAATTAACACCATATTGTGCAACTCCATATTGATCCTAACCGAAAGAGTTGAGATTTTCGTAATACCAGTTGTGCAACATGACAACTCATCATCAGACTCAGTCTTGCTAATACCTAATTGTAAACTATATTCTCGTCTTGTCTAGTTTGGCTTATATAGAAAACTGGCCAGAGGTGCATAGCTAAGAGAGAGAGAGAGAGAGAGAGAGAGAGAGAGATAAGCTAATAGGCTTTCTCCTTGTTCGTGAAGACTTCGAAGCCAAGCACATCATTATCATATCATTATCAACATGGGCTTCTTGAATTACTATTATAGCAGAGAACTCTAACTCTTGTGGCAAAGCGTCTAACACCAGCCAACTCGAGCCCCTTTCTTCCCGAGGTCTCTCTAATACAAGTCTAGAGCCTCTCACATCATATAATCATTATACACGGTCACACGCAACACGCGACATTATAGGCAAACACAAAGCAAGCAAGCAAGCAAAGCATGTATCCTCATAATCTTGGTCTCATTAACCATTTACGCCAACCGACTTCTTTTTTCGCGTCTCGTAAATGCCAACGAACTTTTGGTACAGACAAACAAGGAATCCTGTCCCCCACCAACCCGATGCGCGGTGCGGGAAGAAAGCCGACGCCAGTTTGTGCCCACCCTATTGTTTCCCTTTTTATAAAGTCAGAGGGCCGATCCAAACACATTTGGACAGCCCACCAATCCCTTTTTTGCTTTACAATTATCCCCCTCATGAATACATGCGCGGGTACCGAATGCTAGTGCTTTTTATATCGAAATTATTCCTGTACAACCAGACGGGCAGAGTCTAGATACGGTCAAGTAAGAACGAGGTAGATCAGCGCCATGACTGTCGAGCCAGGAGCCGATCCCGAGAGATGCGGCAATAAAATCGACGGGCACCGACACGAGACTGAATCCTCTACGATTCTTCAGTTCGTGGTCTTCCACCACGTACCATCCCGCCACGGCCACGACCACGGCCGCGCCCTCGTCCCTCTCCGTGTCCTCGCCAGCCACCGCGGTAGTCGCCTCGGCCACGTCCTCCTCTCCAGCCTCCTTCGCGATCACCACGTGGTCGGTTGCGCTGAACTTGGTGAAATCCGTCGTTCGCTTCGGTGGGGGCGCGAGACTAAACAATAGTTAATAACGCTAGACTAGAACACCTCCTTGAAATATTTTAGAGGCATGATAAATAATCGTCTATTCACTAACCTCCGGTGGATTCTCGGGCTGTTCGTCGGCCCAAGATTGGACATTGCCCGTCGATGCGGGGGTTGCCGTTAGGCCGGTCTCCGTTTCGGTAGGATCTCGAGGGACCTTAACCCACTCTTCCTGGGAAATGGAGGCGCTCAGGTCGTTGTTAGCATCCCATTGAGACTCGGCGGCGGCATTAGCAGCATCATCACCGACGTCTGCATTCTCAGGGACGCCAGGTGCCGATGTCGGTGTAGCCTCGGTGTGACCGTTGGTTAATGGGGCCGTAACTCCAGTACTATCGATCTCAGTAAGGCCGGCGTGGGCAACAGTTGGGTCAGTTCCATTAGTAGTCTCGACAGGAGCTTCGGTGGACTCAGCGGCTGCCTCAGCAGCAAACAAAGTAGCATGAGCCGCGGACACAGCCTTAACTTGGGCGACTAGGAGAATGTCAGCAATAACAGGAGAAGGAGATATATCGAATACACGAACATGTGGTCTGAAGCTCGTCTCCGCTAACACTGGTGGTCTTTTCTTCGGAGCCCTCGATAAGCTTAATCATAGTAGAAACAGCATTCTCGTCTCCCGAATAGACGTTAAGGAGAACACCCTCGAGCGCCATGTTCTCGTCCAGGCCAGCATCTGCCTCCTCTGTTCTTCGAGCAGCGGCCAGTCGAAGGAACTGCGACAGTACTAGCAAACTATCATGTTGGGTCTTCTCAGAGTCGGCTGCGGCTTGCTCCTTAATCTCGCTAATCGCATCGGCCTTCTCCTTCTCGAACCCTTCTGTCAGGGACTTCTCTAAGCTGGCCTTCTCAGCTGCGATGCGGGTTCGGTATTCCTCGTCCACTTTCTTATACTGGGCAAGTTGTTCCTCGAGCTGGGCAAGTTGAGATTCCAGTTGGGGTTTCTTCAGGCGCTGAGTGCGCTGGTCGGCGTTGATGATTCTAGCATTGACAAGTTCATCTAGTGATTTGTCTTTGTGCTGGTCGATTATGATATCAGTCTTGGCAGAGTTGGACTGGAGGGTAATATAGTCAGATGCAAGCTCCACCAAGCAGTAAGTGATGAGGGGGAGGGGAGAGGGAGGAGGGGGAAACATGTGCGTTAAAGAACTTACAATCTTTTTGTTTAGGTTGCGGATGTTCCTAGTAAAACAAGTTAGTGAGATGTAGAGCGCTAGAAAGCAACGATGTCACACTGACTTCTGAAGCTCACGGACGTAAGGGCTTTCGGAGCTATCATCCTGACCTTCTTGACCAGCGATAGAGCCGGCCTTCTCGGGCACGGACAGAGCAGACGGGGCTGGAGACTCGGTTCGCTCAGCCTTAGCCTTCTTCTTCTTTGCAGACTTGGACTCGGTCTGAACGAGAGGGTTTTGAACGGCAGAAGAAGGCATAACTAAGGGTGACGATTTTGTCGTGTGCTCGGCGGATTGGGTAAGTGGGATATTTTTGGGGGGGGGGAGCTTGTTTGCTCAACTTGGCGAAATGTAAGATTCAAGGTTGGGGCGGGGGAAGAAGTGGGATGCAAGTTCTTGCGCAAATATATTCCAGAGGGGGGTGTTTTTTTTCGATTTTGGAGAATATGGTTCTAGGTAAAGTAATTAGGTGAGGTTGCGAAGTTGCGAAGTTGTGAGGTTATGAGGTTGTGAGGTTGTGAGGTTGTGGTTTGTGGTAAGATAGGGCGAGTTTGAAGAAATGATGCAGTTGGTGCAGTTTTTGGTTGGACTTGGTTGGTCTTGGTTGGTCTTGGTTGGTCCTAGTCTTGGGTCCTAGTCCTTTGGGTTTGAAAGTGGATGTTGTTTTTCTGCAAGTGCGAGTTTTGGATGCAAAGCTCGAGATCGGAATTTTTTAACCAGGGTTACCGTTAGCTGCTTACCCTAGACCCGCCCTTTATTCAGGGCCCAACGCCCTCTAATACCATGCAACGACCCCGATCTGACAACTGGGTAAGCCTGAACCTTAGGTCCTTAGGTAGCAGCATAGGTTAGGTATGTACTTTAGTAGGTACCTCTCTTTACCCACCAGCGAAACTTGAAGAAACTCCAAGAATTATAGAGTGAGAAAAAAGGTCGAATTCACACAATCTAGTCCATATAATCTTTAGTACCTTAGGTAGTTTAGCTTATACTGCACAACGTTTCACATTTTATTTAGTTAATGCCTCTTCTATTATTGATCCGTTTCTGTATAATTACCTAGTCATCCCTATCCTTAGGTCTAGGTAGATTTCCATGTATCTGGATAACCAGCCTGGCAGCCTGAGTATGGTCGTGTTTTGTATCTTCAATAAACATCATGCTTGAAAGCCTTGTACCTGTGTGCTAGGCAGTAAGCAAGGCTGAGCGTACACGATCTATGCGCTATACCAATACCAATACCAATACCAATACCAATACCAATACCACCAGCGACTTCGACCGAGTCCGACCCGGAGAAGCCTGATGTATCCACCCACTCGTTACCTCGCGCAAGGCGCGCTTGATCGAGGATCGAGGATCGAGGTGAGACAACTCAACTATGTCTAGGCTCGGAATACGCTAAACATCCTCATTGGCTGGCTTATGATATACATGTATCAAGGCTGGCCACCATAGTTCCGACAATGCTTGGTAAGCTCGTTCTATTTCACCCTTTAAACTTGGCCAGGGTATCCTTTGAGCATATCAGCAATTCTATACTTCGCCCTTACGAAGAAATCGCGTTAAAAACTTACCGCAGTGGCTTTCTTCACGCTCCTAGCACTTATTCCCCTTTCGCCAGCTTGTTTCCCGTCAATAGCCGCCTCTTTCATGAGTCTATAATTTATATGGTCAATATCAATATCGCAATGAAAAATAATATACAACTTCAAAGAGGGAGGTCAAACCGTACGTTTGCATGAAGAGTACGTAGTCGAGGAATATCTATAGCGATGCACATATAATTAGAACGCGTCGTGAACGCGGGTCAAAACATTAAAAGCAGCCTTACCATGACATCGACGTTCTTGCTAACGTTGCAGTTAGAATGCGCTTTCACAATCTTCTTCACCGTCGCCCTCGGATACATCTTCTGCCCAGGAGCCATTTTAAATTATATTAAATGAGAAAGGCAAGTTACGTTGTTGTCACGCCTTGCTTGTTAGACCAAAGACGTTCAAACAATAGATTGTAATAAACTCGACTTGTTGATTTTGAAGATGGCAGCTAATAAAGCCCCACCAATCGGCATTGACTGACAGCTGTACGCACGTTAGAGGTACACAAGTACTGAAGTACATACCCCGAAAGGAGCTTGGGCCAGATACCCACCCTTGAATTGACTTGCAGCTTCCACCCCGGAACATGGGGCAGATCTAACAGGATTATCACGTGCTATTGTCGACATCAATTAATAGGTAGGTAATGAATTTAAGTGCCTTTTTAAGAAATGTTACTGTGGTATCAGGCTAAAGTCCTAGGTTAGAGGCACGCTGATATCCTGGGCAATATCCCCTTTGGTGTATTCATACTGATCGTATACTTCGTAATGTTCTACAACAAGGTCGAACCCTATTTCGAGTTAGCTTGGCAACGGCATAAGTAGAAAGGGGGCGGGCAATACTATGGTCAGGTATCCTCTCATCGCCGGGGAATAGAGCTTTCCACAAACGCACCCATTCTTCAATTTTTTGATTAGCTCCCCTGCCCCTCAAAGACACCCATACAGAATATGGTTATTGAGAAGGGGGCTCCTCTTTTTACTGTCCAATAAATAAATGAAAAAAAAATGAAAGAGAACCACGCATTCTGAGACTAAGTGCTAGCTTCAAATCATCAGTATCTTTCACCATCTAGTTACTATGCTACTACCCAGCCACACTTCCGAGCCGAAGCTTCAATATGCGCTCCAGCTCGGTAGACCCGTCTGCCTGTATGCCTTTCTCGTCCATGTCTTGGAGCAACCTGTCGATGTACTCTCCCGCTGCTGACAGATGCAGGATATGCGCAATAGCACAATGGACAGCTAGAAAACGAGGCGAGGGTGGGTCAATTGTTCGGTTATCAGTAAGATATAGCGTACGGGTGATAGGGAGGGTTGGATCGCGAATAGCATATTGGGGGAGAAACGAGCCAATTCGGTAGGTATGCTGTTCATTTGGAACAGGTTCAAAGAAAATCCCGAAATCGCCGAAATGCCTATGAAGACTGTGAGTAAGAGTAATGGCGTTGCGTGGCCGGTCAATCTCGACACCTTCAATAAGGTGTGCAAGTCCATTATCGAACATGTTGAGGACCGCAAGGGCGGTTTGTTTCGAGGGGTCCTAGGAATGTTTAGTTAAAAGACTATATTTGCAGGGAGACAAGACGAAATATACCAGCTGGAAGCTTGCATTGGCCTTTGTTAGGGAATGTGGAAGAATATGAGCCACTTCCAGGACATCAAACGGATTCGGGTCTTCTATTAGTAAATTCCCGTCGTCATCTCGAGCATCGTTGTCACCATCACGATTCAAGCGGCTTATCGCTTCAAGCTGATCAAATTTTCGTGATATGACACAACGATGACGGTCACGGATAAGGCAAGAACCGCGCAGAGCGGATACCCGGGCTGGTGTTCCCACGAACCCTTCTGTTTCTTGGATTAAAGAATGGAAGGTTGGCGTGGGTTGGGGTGTCTTTTTGGTGGAAGCTTTTACTAGGAAACATTAGTAATAAGCAGGCAGCTCATGTATAAGACCTTACGAGGCAAAAAGAAGTTATCTAGAAGATCCTCTGCGAAGCGAAAGAATGCTGAACGGAGCTTTTCAAAGTTGATGTTGTCTTTGTCGTCATCGTCATCGTCATCGTCTATTGGGAGCACGATAGCTCGAAAAAAGGCGCGCAATAAATTATCTCGAGATTCCTCGGAGAGTGCGTATTCGTAAGTGAGACGAATAAGTTGAGGGCGCTTATAGGAACTACTAGCGCTACTATTCTCAGCCTCAAAATATTCGACAATATGATAGAATCTGTTCTTGGCGGCGATGCGCTGAGCTACACCTAAAGATGGCCCTGTAGAAAAGTTTATAATAGCCTCGAGAGACGCCATCTTGGTTAAGCTAGAACCTGGAAGGTAAGTTAATGTTGAACTTCTACCGCTATGTGCCTTTTTTGTAGCGCCTGATCCACCACAGCTTAGTAATCGCCCCTTTTTGCAGGTCTCGGAGCTTAACAATGCATTTGTATGGACTGGGTGAATTACATATTTCTTAAGCATGAAATCCATTATTCATAAGATAAGCAAATGACAAGAACAATAGATTGGAGATATATAAAGGAAACGAGCTGGGTTGTTGATATTTAAACGTTTAATGTGAAGAAAATATGAGTGCGTACAGGCTTGTTTAAGCCAACTTATTCCATGATAGTTTAGAAAGGTTTCCAAATTAAAGAAACCTCTTTTTTTATTACTTTATTTCTATTTATATCATAAGACTAAATATAGTCCCTTTAAATCTACGCTTCAATTTTTTTTGTAATTTTTGTAATTTTACCTGTTTTTCTTTAATTTTTTTTCTTTTCGAGAAGTTTGCTAAAGCTAGTTAGCTTTAGCAAGCAGACCGTGAATGCTTTATAACACCGGTGGATGATCATAAAAGATCATCGTTCAGTAGTCTCAGGCCTTACTACTCCTGACCACTGGAAGCATCGGAAACATTGCCCTGTTGCAGATCATCGACGAATTTCATGTGTTGGCCATTGGTGCTGAAGAGCTGGAGGTTTCCATTCTCGTCCGCTTTACGGAAGCCTACGGCACAACAAGTGGTATACTATAGGGGAAGGATAGGTTAGCAATGATATAGATGGTATATTGTTTAAACATTTTAGATATAAAATGTCAGGTTAATATACTTACAAATCCGGTACAACCGCCATGCAGACAGTCACCCCTCGAGCACCACCAACAACCGGGAACACAGCAGTACGTCTCCTCCTGTCGTGCTTCAAGCGAAGGCTCTGGAACGGGCCCAGCATTGACAAGAGCTATAGGAGCGCTGATGATGGCGCCAACGAGGCAAGCTACAGTAGAAAACTGCATTTTGAGTGAACTTAACTTTCCTAAGCTATCGGCGACTTGAGTTATGTAAGAGGTAAGTGGATTTATTTTCGGATGTAGATAGTTGAGTTTGTTGATAGAAATCCGCACAGGATATGATGATTAGGGAAAAGAATAAAATCATCTTCCAAGCGACGTTTATATAGAGCTTCGTAGACAATCCCGTTCTACCTCTGTTATGACACGAGTGAGTAGTTACGAAACAACTTTATCGTTAACTATACGAATAACTATAGAATCATTTCAGAACAGATTACCGATTCACTTACAAGGTCTTTACTTCAATGATCTTAGGTAGTTAACTATTCTAAGATATAACGTCTTGTGTTGCAACACTACTAAAATAGGAGAATACAACTGTATTGTCACACAGGAATACAAACCTATTGAAGACGAAAGCATCGCATTTACAAGCTCTTTGTTCTGGTTATTTGCGGCCTGGGTTCCGGAATGGTTACACAATCGAAATAATTCACTGGTAGATTGAAGATTTCTGGCATATGCGCGAAGCACCTAAGGTGTATTCACTGCTGCTAAGCAGTTCTATCCGACGCCGTGTGGGTAAGTTAAATTCTTACTGGAAGTGACTGATGGGGGAGGTTATGATGAATGCTAACCTGCGTTTAAAAAGGTTAGATACCTACCTACGGCAGCCATCTCGAATGTGTTTCCAGTATACTACCGATGGTTAAGGTGTAGATTATGAAAAATGAAAAAATAGAATTAATAATTGCCATCCAAGGAAAAGGGGAAATTTACTGCTGAAGAATGAGACTAATCCTTTCAACTTACATAGTAATCCCGCTCTCTCTCAGAGAAATATCACCTCCGGAGGAAGCCATCATCCTACCAAAATTGTAAAAAGTGTCAATAGAAACATTAAATATATAACTTACCTACCTACCTAGTAATCAGACGCAGGTTCAAATCCACTGCTTCCTTTCACTCAACTACTCCACAGTTTACAATACAGTAACATACTGTACATACACATTCACATTCACATAACCAACGACTCAACCACATCCCACCACCATCATCATCCACACATCCAGACCAACCAACCAGCAAATAAATAATGTCCTCACCAGTGCCCATACCACGACAATTCCTAACATCCCTAATAGAAAGCCTCAACTCAATCCCTACTCCCCCGACCCCACAACCCAGCTTAGAAGGCGCGAATCCGCTCAAGCTCATCCCGCCGGCGCACCGCCCACTCCTCACCACCTTGTACGCGCTATACCCGCTGACCCTCCTACCAGCCCTAGACCTCCTGGACAGACATCTCGCCACGCGCATCATCATCGCGCCGTCCCGCCCACAGGGCGACACAACCGCACCCGCAGCACCACACGAGGAGCAACAACCACCAACCCCCCACCACCCCTTCTACATAGTGCGCTCCGCGCAGCCGCAACACCCCCGCCGCGACACCGCCTCCGCCTCCGCCTCCGCCCCCGGCCCGCGGTACGTCGTGCGCCTCTCCGCCTGGAACTGCAGCTGCGCCGCCTTCGCCTTCGCCGCGTTTCCGCGGGGCGAGGACCGCTACGTCGCACCCTCGCCAGCCGATCGGACCAGGGAAGACGCGCTGGAATGGCAGTTCGGAGCCCTGAGCCTCGACGGCACGGACGGGAGCGGCATCGCCGGCGTGCCGTGCTGCAAGCACTTGCTGGCGTGCGTGCTGGCTGAGAGGTGGAGTGCCGTGCTTGGCGGGTATGTGGATGAGAGGGTTGTTGGGAGGGAGGAGGCTGCGGGGTTGGTGGCGGATGTTTGAGGGGGAGGGGGTAGGTGTTTGTGTATGCTGGAGGGAAATGGATGGTTTACGATGTGATATGATGAATTATGAATGATGAATGATGAATGAAGTGACGAGTATTTTACCCCTGGAAAGCACTTATACAGGGCTACAATGCGATGGTGTATAAACCACGGTGGATAATTATCACTGATGAGGAAGCCAGGCTTAAGAGATAAAATGATGCCTTCATCAGGGATCAGCCCCTGGTCAAAACTCTATAGATTTGCATGCGTGAGGTATCCCCAACCTCGAAATCGGCTCTCGTCCAAAGAGTATTAATGTACAGGGGTTGCAGTAATTTGGTATTCCGTCTACTCATAAAAGCTCTACTATTTCTTCTTTTCCTTGTCGCTACTCTTCTCCGTAGTCTCGCCCCCGACGCCGTTGACGCCGTTCTCCTTCTTCTCCTTCTCGTCTTTTCCTGCCGTGGCGGCAGTTTCCTCCTTCGCCTCCTTCTCTTCCTGTTGTTGTCGGTTCTGAATCTTGTTCTCGATTAAATCGTGGAAAGCGGTAATAGCGCGGATTAAGCTGCTCAGGTAGATGGCGAGGAGCTGGTCGTTCGTCTTGACGCTCATCGCATAGGATAGTTCACCCACGTTACCGCTCTTTCCATCAGCACCGGGCTTGGGTGTCGATAGGTTAGGTAGGAGGTTGAAGATATCCTGGAGGTTTCCTAAGACTGCATGGTTCACTGGTAATTTGCCGTCTTGAACTTTCTGAAGGTATGCTTGGATGTCACGTAATCGGAGGTGTAGTCCTTGTAGCGATTGCAGCTGGTTCGTGATCCGCGTCGATAGAGTGCCGATAGCTACGTCACGAATATCCCGGAGCAGGTGCTCGACACCGATCTCTTCCGCCTCCTCGGCCTCGATGGTGGAAGGTGTATGTACGAAGGTCTTGGATGTCGTTGTGCCGTCCTGTTCGTCCCTAGATTTAGCATTTGATATATGGCGTCAGTATAGGACCACTTACGTCTTTAATCTCCTCTACCGCAAAGTACGCATCTGTCGGAACGCCTGACTCCTTAGGTTGGACATCGATGATGACTAGTAGCGGGTTTGGTGTATATCTCTTGAAGAGTTCGTTGATCTGAAGGTCGGATGCGCGCAGCTTAGGTCCTGAGTGGTACCAGCCTATTAACTTCTCTCTGGCGTTGACCTTCTTAAACATGTCGTTCATGTTTTCGACATAGTTGTGATCTAAGAACCAAACGGACGGATCATCGCTGTCTTCCTCGAACGGAACTATATAGAGCGAATCAAGGTTAGTGACGCCGACGTAGGCGACATAGTAAGGAGTAGAGAATAATGCGACTAACCTGCAAAGCTGTTTGATACCCGTACATTCTTCCCATCGTTCTGTCCTAACAGCACACCGACGACCCGCTTCCGTGTGCCCTTGGCTACCCGATTAAAGTGGTCTACGACGGAGAGGAGGACGAGAGGGGCAACCGTAACATTTTTGTTGACAAAAGAAAGCGTCTCGGCGGTCGTGGCAGGCATCTTGAGGAGGGGGGATAGGGAAATAGAGAAATAGAATGGAATAAGGAAGCTTGGTACTCAAGATAAACGAGCTTGATGGAAGTTGATAAACAGATAGAAAGGCTGTCGTATGTGAGGCTGCCTTCGCACAAAATCCCGGCAAGCTCAGCTCTTGATTGGGATTAGCGCGGAATATGTTATGCACAGACCCCCACCGACAAGGCTGATGTAATAGGTTCAATGTTGCTAAGGTTTCACTTGAGCTCTTAAAAGTTTAAGAGAGAGAGATTCAATCTAAGATGGAATTACGTAAACATAATGTGGCTGAAGATTATGTGGCTTGTTCTTTTACTGTGCGGCTAGTGGATCTTACTCTTCCGTAACCTACCTTACCTAGGTAGGTACCTAAGGTACCTAACCCAATGCTCAACGTTTTAACAAAGCAATGCCAATAGCATCTGTTTCCTACTAAGCAGGAAGGGTCAGATGAACAATCAGACTAAAGAATCCTTCCAGCTGACTGAGGTATATTCTGTATCATTTTCTGACAACTAAGGACGAGCGAGCCTAGGTATCCGCTTGGCCGAGTGCTTGGAAAATCACGAGCCGATGCTGGTCGTTGCTTGTTCTACTACCGTAAAAGCCGTCTGAATGCAACTCGCCAAATAGAATACAAGAGTAGGACGATTATCAAGGTAACAGAAAAGTTAATAACAAGGAATAATTATAATATTCAATTTCATCAACTACATCTAAGTCTAAGAAAATCTCAAATATCGTCGACCTCGGCGGTCCAACGGAAAAAAAAGAATAGTAATCCGACTTTCACGTAGGTCCGTAAAAAAATAGCCGAACCCCAAGCAAGCACCAAGCCAGCACTTAACCTAACCGGGTAAGACGGTGAAGCTACCTCAAGCTACCTCGGTGCGGTAAGCTAAGAATTACAGGCAGGTTACTGGCCGCATGCCGCTAAAAAGCAACGATATGTCTCCACTCTGTATTGCCATCCATGGGTATGGGTCCTTCTATGCCTAGGCTGCTACTGTAGGCTGTAGCGGTTCTGCGGTTCTGCGGTTGTTGTTTAGTTATCCCTTCAGCCACTGGGGAGCCCCAATTGCCCCGAGCTCCAGTCTACCGATGAACTTGTACGGAGACGGGGACGGTGAGCGTTTTTTCCCTTAGTCCCCGTTAGCAAGTCGCAATTGAACGTGGCAATCTGTTCCTTGTCCAAAAATAAAAAATAAAAAGTAAAGGTGGTCGTTCCGTCTTCGAGTTACCTATACCTATTAATTCTCAAAGAAAAATAATATTCCGATTCCCGACCCGACCCCCCGACCTCGCTGCACTCTGCACTCTGCACGGCTGCACGCTGCACGAGCATCACCTAAATTCCAGCTTCTAACACCTGCCAGCCAACCTTCTCTGCCACCAACCTTCAACTTACTACACTCTTCTTTATCTTCCTTACCGGAATTTCCGTTGCTTCCTTTCCTTTTTTATTTATTTATTATATCACTCACTCACTCACTCACTCATTATTTTGTGACTTGACCCGTCGCCTTTCCCTTACCTAGCCTTGGTCTGGCTCAATTGATTCGTTTGAGCTGTTTAAAATGGGTATTATCGACAATGAGATGAAGCGGTTGCAGGACGTCGTGTCCGGCTTAGAGGACCGGGTACGACGTCTAGAACAGCGCCAATCCGGCGGAAGTAATGAGAGCGTGCGCATGATCCTCATGGGTCCTCCTGGAGCTGGTATGTTGTTAGAAGAAAATCATTTATGCCGAGGTATTGGTCTTAGTTGAGCGTTGCGCTAACTGCGACTTGACGAACTTCAGGAAAGGGAACGCAGGCGCCTAAGATCAAGGAGAAGTTCTCGTGTTGCCATTTAGTAAGCGCCGACAGATTCTAAAGCGCTATTTTCATGCGAATTTGAATTACTAACAGCCGTAAAAAGGCTACCGGCGACATGCTCCGATCCCAAGTCGCCAAGAAGACGCCTCTTGGAAAGGAAGCGAAGAAGATCATGGACGCCGGTGGTCTGGTCAGCGATGAGATTGTCATTGGCATGATCAGGGAAGAACTTGACAACAACAAGGAGTGCAAGGGAGGGTATGTTCTTTTTCGCGCTTTTATAGCAACTTTTTTTTTTCGGTTGGATCGTAGCCAGGACGATCTATCGAATTCCAACGTTGAACTCGACTGACATTGTCCTAGCTTTATTCTTGACGGGTTTCCCCGCACAGTCGCTCAAGCCGAATCGCTCGACAAGATGCTTGCCGACAAGAACCAGAAGCTACAACACGCCGTTGAGCTACAAATCGACGATGCTCTCCTAGTTGCGCGTATTACCGGTCGTCTAGTCCACCCCGCCTCCGGTCGAAGTTATCACAGCACCTTCAACCCCCCGAAGGTACCTATGACGGACGATATCACCGGCGAGCCTCTGATCCAACGATCTGACGACAACGCTGATGCGCTTAAGAAGCGCTTGGTTACCTACCACAAGCAGACTTCCCCAGTTGTCGGATACTATAAGAACACTGGTATCTGGAAGGGCGTTGACGCAAGCCAAGAACCTGGCCAGGTTTGGACCAGCCTGTTGAAGATTTTCGACGAGAACAAGAGCCCTAAGAGCGGTGGTATCTTCAGCAAGCTGACTGGCCAATAAGCCAACGGCTACTCTTGTCTTTGCCTTGCGCTCTCATCCTGGTTTCCTAAGATTTGAATCTAGGAGGTGAGACGTGGGTATGGATATAGGAGTTTCCAACATAAGGCGTCAGGCGATCATCTAGGAAGGCGTCATTATTGGAATGTGATGTAGTGGGAAGGGGTATCTGGAGCCCAGGGCGCCTAAGGAGTAATGATGGGACGAAAGGGTTACCTATGGAAATAACGCGCGACTTGTATCATACGACTTGCATGTACCATGGCATCATAAATAAAGCCTTTTAGAAGACACTGGATCCTGTCTCCCTGAATGTTAGCACTAAACTTCAGTTCAACCTGTAGATAGAAAACACGATGCTTTTCCAACGTAATATCTCTTTCTATTTCTTGTTGGACGATAACCATTTTTTGGAGCCGATGATTATTCATACACTAGAGAAGATCTCAGCATAATGTTATATTGAGCTTTATCTTTAACTGGGTAAGGTTGGATGACCAACTGCCAATTGAGGATAACAGCTAATAGCTTATACTTTTCATCAAGACTATAAGCGACAAAGCTCAGCTCGAGAGCAATGTAAATAATGTAACAACTTAGAGATAGTAATCTCTTTCATCGTTCGAGATATACGAATTGTGAAGCAAACATGCAGACAAGTAGACAGAAGATCATGAATATGATAAATATCCGAAAGTAGCAGTTAGTTTCTATATTGTATACTCGACTAGACTATACATACACATGAAATTATGAATACGACTATACTACCTACCCAGTTACCAACTTGAAGCAAAAAGCGGCCTCAATCCCATGAGTCACTTCATACCATTACGACATATGCAGGATCGCCTGGAGAATATTAGTAAAGAAGATATAACTAGATCTTATATGGGCAATATATTTCAAGTCTCAAAAAATATAACCAAGACACCAGCAAGAATAACTTTCTCATAACCAAAAACCCCAACCATGGCCTTAACGTTCACCACCTTCGACGTCTTCACCAAGACGCCCTTCCGCGGCAACCCCCTCGGCATCATATCATCTACGTGCCAGCCGACACGCAGCTCACCCAGGACCAGAAACAGCTCATCGCGCGCGAGTTCAACCTCTCGGAGACGGTATTCCTGCACGAGCAGACCTCCGCCGACATCTTCGCCCCGCTCGCCGAAGGTTAAGCCCGAGTAGATGATGAGATGGGTAGACCTGCTATATGGCGCCGGAGCTGGTTTATTGCTTGCTATAGCTTTGTCGTAGTGGTGATTGAATGAAGTGAATACATGGTGTGTAGAAGTAGGCCGTATATAAATCCACGTTACTGGCGTACCTATTATCTGCTATTTCGCCGGGCTACTATTATATCCTTCAACAAAGGAATGTTCTTGCAGAGTTATCATACTACCTTCTATTACGAGTCGGGAATACCAGCTTACGATGAAATACGTATAAGACTATAGAGCTACGTTGAGTTATAGACAACGACAATCATCGAATGCCTATCTTCAACTCCTCGTCTATGCTTTAACTTAACACCATACCATCTAGACGAACTAACCCAATAAACGGCCACTATGAGGAGAGAATGGGAAACGAAATTAACCATTAAATTTTCGCAGAGGATATCTAGGTAGTAGGCCAAACATAAAGTCTACTTTAATCCAAACAAACGTAGTCTCAATATTATGCTATAGGGGTAATCGTTCCGCGAGGTGAACCCAAATCTATCGCCAACGAAGTAGCTTTTAAAAAACGTGAAAAAAGAAGGTGTTATGATTAGGTATCTTCCATTACCCGTCCGTAAGACGAGCTACGTAGCAAACAGCCAGTCCGTCCCTCAACGCCAGACCATCGTTCACGTCGTAATCATACAAAGGAAGCAATAACGAAGATATCAGAGGGAGTGCGCAGCAGTAGTAGAAATCTTTGACAATAAAATAAAAAATCCAACGCCTTTCCGTTAGGTATTTCCTCCTTGCCTGCCTCCCTCCTCTTTCCGGAGGACACCAACGCCTATGGAAATGCAGTTTTGACCGGGTTGTGATAATCACCCAACGCCTCGCTATTAACCCGAAGCCTTTGGCACCCGCATCCTCTGCAATTCATTTTTACTTGCCAGATCACCACCGTAACTACACGTGTAAGTTGACTGAAGGTAAGTCTCACTAGGCAGATCGCCCCTTAGCTGCTCGAGCCGCCGGCGCGCTGACATCCCTCCTGTCACCCGTTCCTGACATCATCTGCCTCCGGGGCGTGGCTAGGCCTTGCGCAGCACTCCTAGCTCTACCGCGGCGCTCTCTAATCTGCGCTAGCGCTTCCTCGCGCGTCATTGTTGGTGCAAGGGTCGGATTATTGACATCGAATGATGGGACACGGTTTTGGTTAGTTGGTTCTCGAATAGGAACTGTCGTGGTAGTGGTTACTGTATAGAAGGCAGCCGTACTGTGAGGTCGTGTATCCTCCTCTGGTTCCATCTCAGCTTTCGGGCGGGCTGCTTCTTCGGCATCCTCTTCCGAGTCTAAGCGGTTAGGACCTTCCAGTGGTATGGTCGGGATATCCATCATAGGGTAGATAGATTCGCTTTGACGCGGTGCGTTGAGGAGTGAGAGGAGGGAAGTGCGCTCCTGCGCCATCAAGGCAAATGCTGGAGGCTCGACGGATGGAGTTCGAGAATAAAAAGAATGGGTTGGCGGGGGATCTTTTGGGGTCGTTGGTTCGCAAGGGGAATCCTCGGACTTCTCTATTGTTCGTAGTTCTTGCTGCGAGATGGTCCTGAAGATCCCCTCAGAAGGAACAAAAATAGTCGAACGCCTGGGCTCCTTTCGTTCTCTCGGCGCCTCCTTTTGCATAGCATCCTCTGCCTGCGATCCTATCTTCTCTAGAGACGGTGGCTCCTGTTCTTGTCCTTCTGATTGCTCCTGTTCCTGGCCTTGGCTGTACCTCGAAGTTCTAGATCTGGTAGAGATAGGCTGCTCTACGGATTTGGGCTCCTGGCCTAAAATCATAAGATCTGCCGGGTCCACAATCGTGACTGGCCCAGTCCGCTCTTGACGTGCAGAGGCAGCCAGACTTCTCCGCGACCGAGACTTCGCACAGGAGCAGCATCGTAGTTGACACTCAGCCTGCACAAACTCTAGATGTTCTTGAGCTCGGTCAGCTCTTTGCCTCTCCCATTGCCACAGACGTGTTAACTCTTCGATCTCCTCTTCACTCGCAGCCGAGGAAACAATATCGACCGCCGACAAAGAAAAACGCCCCTTTTTAGGCGACGCGAATTCGCTGTCCGGATCCTCCGGCGGGAGCGGTAGACGCCCCTCGGCGGCGATCCTAGCAATCTCTTCGCTCTTGGCGGCGTCCTTGTAGGCATCACGCTCCTGCTCGACGAACGCAATGCGTTCGAGAGCCTTCTCTAGTTGCTCTTGTATTTCGGCTAGTTGGTAGCGGGATTTAAACGCTTCCTGCTCTCTAGCCTTGCTAAGATCCTTCTCCCTTGCCAGGGACTCTTCTACAGACTTGCAAGAACTTCGCGCGGCTTTGAGTTCCTCTTGTAGCTTAACGATAGATGACTGTGTCTTGAAAACCTCCTTGCGCGCGTGTCGAATTTCCTTCTCCCAAATCGTTTTGCTGTGTTGGAGGGTTTCTTTCGCTTGTCCATATTTCTCCTATTGATCAACCATTAGTACAAAGTACTCTACTAAGGATAGACCGTACTTCGGCTTTAGTAAACTTACCATGACGTCTTCTAGCCTTTCGCCTACTTTGCGCTCTCGACCGCGGCTCTCCTCGACTTGTCGTCGCAGGGCCCGGGTCTCTTCACGATAGCGGCGCATCTCAGCCTCTGCTTCTTCACGTCCTATCATGGCTCGTTTTAGGGCGGCGTCAGCCGTCTTTCGTTCAAGTTGTCTGGACATCGATGCCGCGCCTCCGGGGCCAAGGTGGGCTAAGTTATTGAATTGGCGGATCTTGTCGTGTACGTCGCTATCACGAAGGTGGTCAGACTTCGTGGGAGATGGCGGGGCGGCTTCGCGTTGTTGATTAACTTTATCAGGGGATGAAGGCTGGAGTGCCGCACCAGGCGAGCCTGGCACGCTAGACGAATTTTCGACGTGAACCATTTGTTTACCCGCTTGCACTTGCGGATCTGTATAGTAGGTACAAGATAGATTAAATTTTATTCCAAGGAAGATGCAATTATGTGCAGCATTGGGTTTGAAAATCCACCTTAGTTGTGGAATATGTTAAAGATTACTGTGAGGTAGTGAGCAGTGAGCAGTGATAAGTGGAGGTGACAACTTAGAAACCTGGTGATAGCGGGTCGCTATGTTTATCTTGGAGATAAAACGCGTTGCCAGGTCAATAGATGCGGAGCCACGTGATTGCTTGACAGTTATCCAACGGTCCGAAAGGTCACACTGCAGCTGGAATAGGCACAATTCTGGCCCCATATATTCCGTGCGCCGACCGTTAGCACTCGTAGAATAAATTTTAGTGGCTTTTGTCAGCCGTTAGATAAACGGTCCATACTAGTTCCATGTACCTACCTACATACCTAACCTAGGTAGGTACCTAGGTATATATCTAAGGTACATATGTAGTTCACTAATTTTATTCTCCTTTCTTCAACATTGATCGACATTGATGCTATGCGGCAGAACGAATCTGGCTTGAAGTCATGTAAGTGCGTTTATTTTTACTAATTGGAGAACAGGTCACAAAAATAAGAAATAAGAAGCACCGTCCATGTTGGGATCAAAAATCTATTATCTTCTTATACAGGTCATTAAACACGACTCAGTTTTATCCGCGCCTTTTCCCCTCCTATCCGTACGTGTACACCTCCACCTTCTCTTCGTGAGCATCTCGGCAATCAGGAGTAAGGCAAACGTTAATAATAATCCAACAACACAACTGAATCGAAGTCTCACAATCTCGATGGATAATGACTCGCCCCGACGCCGAATACTCTTCCCAAGCGCGAGGATGAGAAGCGAATGTGAATGCCTAAAGTCCAAGCCACATGTGCCCATAATACAGCCTCCCCAAGATTACCTGGTCGACAGACTACTTTCCCAACTTGAATGCCTGAAACTTCCGTTTAGAAAACTGATGACAGAGGAGAGATGCATGGTATCAAAAGAAAGAGATTATGCCGAGAATCGCCCCTTATTCCTATGTTAAGCGTTTTTGTCCTCCTGTGATACTTTCAAGGGTTTGCCTGGCGAGCTATTTCATTGCCTGTTTCCTTGGCTTGGACCTTGCCGGCTCGGAGCAGGTCACCAATCCAGGTGAGCGCTTCGCTTGTGACAACGAGACCAGCCGAGACGAGCGCCTTGCTAGATGTTACTAGGCCGTCACCTCCAACCCTCTTGTACTCGGAGTTATAGACGTCGAAGACATGGTCCTTGGTTTCCAGTCCTTTGCGGACCGGGAAGAAGACCAGATTTATACCATCATTGAACAGTTCACCGGTCGGTTTCTTCAGGACGGGAAGACGTTCATCGATTTTGTTCAGGGCACCATCGCCGATCTGGTCGGCCTTCTTGATGTAAGGAGAGACATATTGATACGGCTTGGAAAGGTACGGAAACACCGGCTTAGCGAAAGTTTTGTAGGCAGTATCACCCAGCTCTATCGACTTCTGGCCATAGGGATTCCCTTTAATGAAGGCAATGCTGTCGTTGACCACCGGGTATCCTCTGATATGCTGCTCCGACGTTAGTTCCGGGCCTTATAATGAGATTCAGATGGAAGCGCGGCGATCTTACCGACAGAGTCGCGGATAACGGATGAACCTCGCCGTTAACTTGGGCAGCCATTGTTGGGCTAAGTCTCCCAACTAGTAAGAGAGTAGGTAGATAAAGATGTCGAGGGGGGAGGGAAATGGAAAGAAGGAGCTCAAGGGCGAGCGCGAGCGTAGGTAAGTTGTTGGGTCACAACAATGGTTTGTCTGTTTGTTTGGGGAGATAGAGGAGGGGGTGAAAGAAGGTGAATGAAGAAGCTGAATCAAGGCTTATTCGTTCGCTGGATCAAACGGGATGAGATTGGGTGGGATGAGATGGAATGGAGTAAAGAAAGAGATGGAGGGAAGTCGATCAAGGTTGAAGAAATCAGCGACTAATAACTTAAAAGACGAAGTCCGTTAAAAGGCAAAAATGCGGGATGAAACAGTCATAAGGCATATGAGGTAGTCAGGGTAGTCAGGGTAGTCAGGGTAGTCAGGTGAAATGGGGTGCTTTTAAAACAATAAATACCTGTTAAGCTTGACGATGTTCCGGCGCGAACATTCTTTTTTAACATGTGCTTCCCGCCTTTGCCTTATTACACGGTAAGAATGCCCTGATTGGGTTTTACATAATGTACCCGTCCACCTGGCGCCATTTTGTATATGTATTGTACATCATATCATACACTGCATGGTTATCATACATACATATACATACATGGCAGAGTAGCATTAACTACGCCTTCGTGTTGGGTACAGAATTGCCGCCATTCATCGAGGTCCATTATTAACGCATTCCATGTTATTGAACCAATGAAGTCACCAGCGCAGAACTCCTCTCTAATGCCGCCGTGTTTCTAGCGGGTCCCTAGGTAGCTATCGAGCTTCAGCAGCTACCTATGTCCATACATATGGGTAGGTAGGTACATAGGTACCTAATCTTCGGATGCGGTAGGTACCTGAAAGCTTGCCGTAGATCCGCTGGCGGGTCAAGTACATAGTACACGTCGGAGGGGCGATAACATCCAGTGTCACAGGCAAAAGATACAAGCTACATACCTACCTACCTCTATGCCGCTTGAAATTATATACATACTAATCCCGGTAAACTTACGGATTACAGGGGGTAAAGAAAGAATTATGTAGGCATTTGTACAGTACACGTAACGTAGAGGACCTCCCTATGGCCCATAGCCCATACATGTAGGTAAGCCCCCCTCAGCCTACATACATATGTAATCTTTACCCCTGTCATTTGGCATGTGAAAGACTCGGAACTTTTCTTTACCTCTCACCTCTACACCATTATAGTACAACATCTATCTACATATTCGCATTCGCAATCATTATCCTTGTTCCTATCTATCCGTCTTCTTCGGTTCGCCTATCTTAGATACGCACGCATGTTACGTACTCGGTTACATTCCTGTACCTTTTATTGCGAACCAGCTCTTTTTTAAAGGTTGCATGTCCCATCCAATCCGATTCGAGTTTCGGTTTTAAACATACCGGATGAGAATTCCCTTCCTATAAACCCCAGCCAAGACCAGCCATATTTACATCAAGACACCGTCATATGCAATACTTGGCTTAAATATACCTTCCTGTCGTATAGCTAACCTAACCTAATCTACCTACACTAGGTGAACTCGGCGAATGGAAGCGTGGCGGCGGCACGGCCTGATTTCGAATGGGCCGGCAAGTCCCTATATATGTAATGTTATATGTAATGTCATCTTAAACGGTCTAACTTGAACCTACTTCTGGCATATGAACTACGGCATAGCTGCAGCATTTAGTTACTATGTAGCCAGACGTGTTTAAGCGCCGAGGTATTATTAACTATTAACTATTAACTCGCATCTAACATAAACTTCCCTTTGATGGGTTCCAAATATTATCAAGTCCAGATCCATCTATTGCGCCGAGTACTATTCATTATTCATACTATAGAGGTATGTATCTTTATTAACCATCTTTATTAACCTAGCTATTTGCAAAAACTTCAACAACCTCGGTTCGAGGGTTCGAGACGATAGAACGATAATCAACCCATTCGCCACATGTCGTCTAAACCAGGGGGTTCTTTGATGGATACATACCAACGGAACCTGAAGGGCTGCGCGATCCCGATGCTGCATGATAACTCCCTTGTCTCTTTCACGAGATTCTTATTGTTAGTACATATATTGTTAGTACACTATTGTGTTAGTATGTATGATGTATGATGCATCTACGGATCCGTACTATCTGTTGTACTTGCTATATGCCCCACTTCAATTTACTATGTATATATCTCACCATCTCACGGTCCGTCATGTCGCCTTTCACATGTCAAAATCCACCCCCCCACGAGGCTACAAACAAATTCGATATTTTCTCGTCATCCCGCGACGCCACGTTCCGCCAAAAAAGATGCCAAGAACGCGCCTCTATCTACCCATGCTCCTGGGACAGATTCGATCATTTACCTAGGTTAGTAGCCTAGATCCGAAGTATATCAACTCCCAAGCAATCTGTGTGTTCATGACTATTTTCCTCTAAAAATATTCGATAGTTTCGATATTTCTTGATATGTCTCTATTCGTGACATTGAGATTGTACGTACGTACTGGCTATCAACGAAATCATTATTAACCGGTTAGCAACCCCCCAAACCTGCTTATAAGATGCAATCCCATCTTTCCTTGTAAAGTCGCTACGAATCAATTACATCAGGACGACTTTTGCCATGTACGGAATACGGTAGCAAACAATATCTGTAGATGTGGATTTGATTTAGAAAATTACGATCGAGATGACCGGCCAAAAGCTCCGCATGTTAAAGCAGCATTGCCTAAAAGTCAAAATGGATGATGATATCAGCCTCAAGGCTGTCTACTTACAACTTGATTGTCTCTATCATACGTACTCTCTTGTCTGTAGTAGAGGATCTCGGTTTCTATTTGGATATCCTCGCCGGTCTAAAGCTGTGGAAGATTTAAGCCCGAGGATTACGGAGTCAATAAGACCGTCGGAATACGAGGACGGTCGATAATCATCGACATCAGAGCCTCTAGTGCAAACCATAAGGCCGGTAAACGTAACTAGACTAAATCTCCACCGATATTTTAGAAAAAGGTCTAGATTAAAATGTTGAAGCTTGATTGGTGATTTTATAGTCCATCGCCATATGTTCAATTTTAACATTATATATCCAAATCATCTGAATATGAAAATGAGACCACATTGTCCGCACGAAGCTTTATCGGTGAGGTTTCACAGCGTCGACCCCTCGCCAGTTCATATTAGAAAAAGCCCAACGACGTATATCTGTTCGTGTTCGATGCACGACAGAGTCGGTTGCTGACGCAAGATCATGTTAGGTAACTTAACATCAGGCATCCGGGTACCGTTCTAACTTCCTTTGTCTTCCTGGGGTTCAAGTTACCTAAGAGAACAGGCGATTCCCTTATACCAACATATATAACACAGCTATTAAAGCCCAATTCGAGTTGCACAACATACGAACTTCGAAGCTCTCCGCATTCTAACTCGTCCCCGCTCGTGCGCAGTACGTGGACCTCGGCGTGATGTCTACTACCTACCTGTAGTATAGAGCATACAGTCTCTATGCCGAATAAACCATATGTTTGCTATATCACATTAGCGAATTCGAACGTCCCAGTCGTTAAGGTTTTCGCGGTATTATATGTCGTCCAGTGGTCCTCAAGCTTGGAAATATCTTATTTATGACTCTTCTACTTCGTAATGAGTATGTTACTACCGGTCATCACCTTGAATAGATATGCTGACAGCAGTTGTCAATACTCTTGTCCTTGATACTCACCTTGCCCAGCAAAAATCATGGAATGGGGTATAATTGCCATGGTCAACTTTTTGCGAGGCATAGAGATCGAGAATGGATATTTCGGTAGCATGCAGAATGTGCTATTGCATAATATCAACTTCCCGATTAGAAGATAACGCAACGCTTCGGAACGGAACCTATACGACGATGGATGCTATATCGACGCGCGGGGTACAGGATATGATACCGGGAATGCCCGCTGCCGTGTATCACAGCTTCGGTGTGGATAGTTGCATGGCAGACATCCACGCAGTGCAGGATCGATACGGATGAGGAACGCGGAGATGGCGGTCCGATGTGACGGGAATATGACGGCATATCGAAAAGGACATTAGAAAAGAAGCATATAGAAAATACTCCGAGCGAGAGGCTCGATATGCGGCCATTCCCCCATCCTGCGCCGAGTATACTTATTATCACTTATAAGGAGTTCTATAACCGCCCTCTCCATTCTGATGTAACAAACATGGTAGGATGTGTGCGCCGTCGTTTATACAGATGTTTCTCTGCTTGATCAATGGGATTTAATAACGGGGATTGTGTGATCGTGATCGTCGGCGCATAGGTGCTACCTTAACATTGACATACATAATCAGGATTGCGAAATAGAACCGGGGAAGAAACAAAACGCACTGCTGGAACTTATAATATATGCGAGAATGTGGCTTAGGGGTTTCCATCGTCTAGCACTCCCGTGATATTCTTCAAGTGTTTGTTGTATACAGGTATGCAGCTGCTCCCAAGAAAGGTGAAGATTCTATGTCGATCCAGATGATATCTCAGTTTCGACTTCCCCACGCTGAGCTTTGATTGGGCTTTGGGAGAGCCCTCCGCGCCACTGAGAAACGCAACAATCGTCTGCAATGCATTCAACTGTTTTAAGAAGCTGTCGTGAACACGGTAGGCGAGGTGAACCAAACAGACTTACTACTGTGGCGGTGGTGGTCAACCCCGACTCGAATAATAGCATAGGTATGCATTTAACTCGCATATTATCAGATCGCCTATCGTAGAGTCGCATCACAGCTGCTCCCAATTATATCAAGCCACATAAGACCCATCGTCTTCTTTTAGCCTGAGACGGGCGCCAGGGTGTATAGCACAGCATGAGATCGACACTAGCGAGATTGGGGTTAACGAACGACAACGGCTAACCTACGCGTGCGTGCCTGGCTTGGCCGAACTTGAAACTTATGTATATATGTATATCTAAACAGGATGGCCTGCCGGTCGAAGCTTCGACTGCGACGGTAAAATGCCACCTACGTAGGACCCCGACACACTGTAGTACGCCCGACATCCGATAGGTTCGTCTGGGTATACATACAAACATACCTACTTAAGAAGCCTACCTATGCAACGCTTCTGCTTGCCGCGCACGCCACGCCACGCCGACAAGGGCCGGAATTAGAAGGACGATTTGGAGCCGAGGGGCTAAGCTAGGTGCCGATCAAGATACTCGCTTGGGTATGTAGACGACTGCGCGGAAAAGGAAGCAATCCGCGTTTCTTTGAATGCTGGAACGATATAGCACCACGGCGGGGTGAGGTTAGGAGAAACATGGGCTGTAATATACCTGGTCAGATAGTTGCTTGAGCTTGCGTGCTGCGGTGAGTTATTCTATATCGCCGAGTTTTTAATAGATTGGATCGCCTAAGGGTGGTTTAAATTAGACATGCTGTAGTACTAGTTATGGACCTTTAAAGATGTGCAGTTATCCAAAAGTATCACCCTGATAGGTTCTTATTTTGGAGAACTCTCCATTTGGTATAGATGTCTTGTAAGAAGCGTCCTCTTATTCCCTGTGTTACCATATGGATATATGTTGTAGTAGCAAGCTTCCCAATCTAACTCTATTCTAGGAGAGGGTAATTATAGTGTCGAAGAATAACATCTCAATTGAGTCTTTAGTTAAATCCTATGGAGCTCGTTTAGTATATTAAAAAATAGCATTTGTTGTCATCTTAGCTATTTCGAGATTTACTCTTAGTAAGGATCATCACTGAATACCTACCTCTTTAAATATCTATGTAAGCTTCTAATCTTAAAAATATGTAAGTCTGAAACGGGGTTCTCGTCCAAATATGCTCAAAGAGCCGTAGGAAAACATTTCAAGCTTATAAAGACAAATTAGATAGTTTGTTTTGGCATGTCAGATTAAGCACTTACTCATTAAAACATAGACAGCGTGATAACATAGTTTAAGTGTCACTCTAGGTTCCGTAAGCATCATCGGTTCCTGAATGTAAAATATTTCACCTAAGAGACTATAAAGTGGTAGCTAGTGAAGAATCTACGAGTAAAATATATGAAAGTTCATAGACGTCTTAAGGGGTTGGTAAATAGGAGTTTAAGTAATTCTCACTAGTTACTAGTAGTTGAGGATAGTTTAGGTTGCCTAGCTTTAACCAAACGCACTCAATCATCCCTCTGCTGCGTAAGCCTTACCTGAACCTCGAAAAATATATCCGATTTTCTAGTTATGTATAGTTTCATCAAATTGTGTCATACCATCTTACTCATGCCATACCCCCATACTGAGCTCCCAGGCGTTTTATTTGACATAGAGTATGTGGCGCGGCTAATATAAAACTTTCACTATATGTTTTATACCAAGCCAACCTCTTTAATCTAGTGGACAATGTCTCAATATTTATATATTTGGGCGTCTAGAATGGACCCAAGAAGAGATAGGCAAGGGTGTCGACTAATGAATTGACGGACTCGTAAATTTTACCCCTATCCTACCGCTACGTGTTAGTGCAGCTATTGCAATATCCCACAGGCCACTAAAATGTATTAGGACAGGGACTTGAGTATGAAGCCTCTAGTAACTACCTAATGTGATATTTTATACTCTAGATCTTACTTAACTCCATCCTCACCAATTTATATTTTACTCTAACCAGCGCTAAATCTATGTACCCTTGAATAGCCAGCAACAATCTTCGACTCCCTTCCCGATTACGCCACAGTCAACACCGCTCTGAGATGGATGTCACCGCGTTCTAGCTTATCTATCGCCTCCCTAACACCCTCTTCCGTCATAGGAAACGTCTCGGTAATCGGCCTGATATCATGCAGCGCCGCAAACGCAAGCATCTCCCGGTGGACATTCCGCGACGCGACGAGGGATCCCTGCACGGCGATGCCCTTGAATATCAGCGGCATGTACGGGATCTCGAGGTTGCCAGAGTCGACGGAGAGGGGGTATATGGCGGAGCCCGGGGCCATGATCGGCAGGATGAGTTCCCAGTTCGGCTGCGAGGACGTCGTGACTAGCAGCCGGTCGATCGGGGTCGATACCTCGAGCTTGTCCTTGTCTTTGATAGAGACGAACTCGTGGGCTCCGAGCTTCATGGCCTGGTCCTTTTTCCTGTCCGAGCCTGATAGAACGATAACACGGTTTCCCATCTTAGCCGCAAATTGAATCGCTAAGTGGCCGAGGCCGCCTAGTCCGATGACTGTAGTTGGTCGAGTCAGCAGCTATCTCTTCCAGGGGCTTGAAGGGAGCAGGCAACGTCTTTTTAAAAGGGGTGAAAAGCTCCACCTGAAAACACTTACCGCCAACAGTCTCAGTAGGCCGCGTATTATAAGCCTGCAGAACAGCAAACACCGTCGCGCCAGCGCACTGCAGGGGGGCAGCATCGATGTCACTCATACCCTCTGGGATCTTATGCAGAAACGCCTCGCGGACGATAGCGTGAGACGCAAAGCTGCCCTGATCGACCTTCTCAGTGCCATACACAGCGCGGTCGACGCAGTAGATCTCTCTCCCCGTCAGACAGTTTCTGCAATTGCCGCAGCTGTCGTGTTGGTAACCAAAGCCCACGCGGTCGCCCTTCTTCAGGTGCTTGCTGTACGGACCCACGGCCTCGACGATGCCGACGCCTTCGTGGCCGAGGACAACGTCATCGTGTAACTGTGGCTTTTGTTAATGGGGTGATGTGTAGGTGTGTGAGTGTGTGTGTGTCTCTCTACGAACCAAGTGGAGATCTGTTGAGGTTTGTTAGTTATTATTGCTCGGAGTACGCAGAATGATAAACGTAAAAGACTTACCAGTGCCGCATAATCCAGACGCCGTGATCTTTATCAGCACTTTATCGCCAGTGAGAGTTTCTGGCTTGGTAGCAGAGCTCTTAGTGAGACCGTTTTTGGAGCCTTTGTAGACTGTGAAGGAAGTCATGATGGAAAGGGGGTAGACTGTTTAGAGTGGTTTTACTGCAAATTTAGACGGTATGTAGAAGGATAGCGATGTTAGGATTGAGGTTCTTGAGCTGATAGTTGAGTTTATGGTAGAGATCTGGTGCTCATTTATATTAGATATCTATGCATGTCAGCTAGGTACCTATGTAACGGGCTTCGGTGGCTTATAGCTGGACTGCTGGTATGTGACTATCCAGGGGATAAACACTGATTACAATTTACAACTAGTTACTGGTCATTTCTAATTCGGCGATAGGTAAAACAAATACCCAATTCCTTATTCGGAGATAGGTGAGCTATAGTATTCTTTCTTTCTATTTCCTTGGTTTATAAGTATGCTTTGCTAAGCTATTGATGTCGTCGTATATTCAACCCCTTAAAGCTTGAAGTTTGTGACGTATTGTAACTCTCCTCCGGCTTCTCCTTTGGGACTCGGGGGCTGATCTATTTCCAGCTTGCCAGCTTGCCAGCTCTTAGTAACACCCCGCAGTAATAAATAGGGAATAGGGTTGATCTTTACAACCTTATTGATCCTTCCCGACCTAGTGTTATATTTAACCATGTCTATATTGGATTCGCATATCTGGTTGCTTAACTACACTAATTCTCCTGCATCGCGGTACTTCATTCATACGTAATAAATAGCTGTTTACCCTTTTATATCCAATGGATTTCCGGGGTTATTACTAACTGGCCCGTCAATTGGTCAACCATCACCCATCATTCTCTTAAGTTGAATGGATGCATAGGTAATCAGCTTATTACGCAATTCGCTACATCATTGCGTCAAGTATATGTGTCGTAAGCGAGATGAGTGTCATGTAATTTATAATTGGCTATAATTAATTACCTTTGAAATTTTCCACCAACGCCTCACAGATATAGGGGAATAGATAAGCTAAACTGACATCATTTTATAACCATATCATTCCATACGCCTAGAGCACCTTGCATCTCATAGGATAGTCCAAAGGGATTAAGGAAATACGGTAACAGGATAACCATCTTGAAACCCGAATGTCTTTATGCAGACATTATATTATACTTACACTTGCTGTTACCCGTATATCCATTGGGCGCCAGGGTCGCCGTTCATCGTTGGCCAGGACAATGTTCCGAAGTTTCCAAAATCTTGATTGTCGAAAGTGAAGGCCATGTCAATAGAACCAGCCAACATGCCCTGCATAGGTAAACCGGTTCCATCGCCATAACCCCAATCTCCAACCGCTGTCAGTGCTTCAGCGGGGTTGCTGTCGGCGAGCGCCTCATCATTTGTAGCCTCCCAACTATTAGAACACAGAGGCGTCTCGTCCGCCTTCTGCGGCGAATCTTGGTTCTCTTGTGTTTGCTTGATAAATATATCGGCCTGTGCGATGACATCGCGCGTAATAGCAGCCGCACTGGCCGCAGTCTTGATGCTCCTTTTCCAGATATCAAAAACACCTATGGCGAGGTCAACAGCGCTTCTTGCCTCTGGGGTTGTCGAACTCTGTGGATAGGCAATCACATAGCCGATGAGTGACATGGCAGCATTCCACTGCCACTGGGATGCCTCATGCCAGCCGGTAAGGATAGGCGTCGATGAGAGTACTTGATGCAGGATACGTGTCAGTGCTATGGCGTGGCGGGCGCAGTCTGCAGCGATCTTGTCGGCGACTGGAGTAGGCCCTGCCACCGGGGCAAAACGGACGAAGGGACGGAATAGGTTTATGCATAGGTTGTGATACATAAGTTCCAATAGAAGACGTTGTCGCTGGAGCCAGAGCGATGCAAACTGTTCAATCTCGAGAAGCGTGGAGTCGGTAGAAAAAGGAACACCATTTCCCCCGCGTTTAGTTTTAAGGGCATTAGGGACGCCTTTCACCCAGTCCTCTATTCGATCTATGTAAGGACCTAGAAATTCCGCGTGAGATTCGATGATCTTTGGATCATTCTGTGAAGCCTGGTCGTCGAAGATACTGGTAGTGCCGAGTTGTTTCTTATAGAAGGCCGTATAAGTTATTCGGATCATCCGGAAGAGCTTAACGTTTTCAAGGTTGAAAGTTAGCCATGTAGCGTCCTCTCCGAGCGGAGCAAACACGGAGCCCGACAGCGTTGCGCATTCCCGGTCATCGCCTGGTAAGCTACAAGTAGTATCGGAGTGATCTAGTTGGAACGGACGGCCCAGTTTCATGCTGATTTTACTATCGAAGACATAGAGAGTCCATAACAAGCGCTTCCGCATTTCTCGCTCCCGCATCGGCATATCTTCTGGCGGCTCTAGGTGAAGGCCAAGCATATAAGCCGTCCGCACGGCCAACGTGCAGGTGCTATCTGACATATTTGGGAAAGATGCAGAGCACAAATAGACGGATGACAAGAGGTGGCATTGCAGTGTTAATATGGTAGGATTCTCTAAGTCGTTGGTCAATAACCTCTGGCAGCGCTGATAATACCACCTACTACCAGCGATGATATCGTTAATGTCGTCCTCGAGGCCTGGTTGTAGTGCTGCGTTATAATGCATACATAAGGCAATGACTATATCAACAAGCGCCGATGGCTTTCGTTCTCTGCCTGATGTCGTCCATAGTGATTGGTAATGCTCCTTAAATGTACCCTCATCTAGAACTAGTAGTGAGGTGTGGAGAGATTGCCAGAAGAGACTTATGAAATACTCTTCCTGTGTTGGAGTTAAATAACTTCCTGCGATGGCGGGATCCCCTGTCACTGTAGTAGTCGGCCGACTACTCTGGTCTCTCGCAGAGGTTTGGCTTGTCCCATCGAAGAGCTTCACTGGGTCTGGTAGCATGCGATCGATAGGTCGGGCTTGTTGAAGAGAAGTATTCAAGAAGGTGTTCATGCGCCTGATGAAGTAGAATAATGATGAGGCACCATACCACGTTCCCTGCTGGGAGCGGGTAGTAGGAATATGTACCCCTTCCCTTGACTTCTTTCCCTCTAGACTATTTATATGTTCCCCCGGAGAATCGAATGCTTCGGGACCCTCGGAGCCAGAAGGCCCGGACGAGGCGAGACTCGACGGCGTCTGAGGCGTGTTGATCCCAGTACCAGGCTTTATAGCCTTACGCTCGTTCTCAAGCTCCCGCTCTAATTCTCTCACCCGGTTTTCTAGACGTTCAATTTTCCGATAGGCATGAGGAAGAGTACGGACAGGTATCTCCCCTTGACTACACTGGCCATTTCTCTTCCGGCAATTCGAGCACGGGAGATGATTATCACATTTAATACGGTGCACACGGCACCAATCACATGCCCGAGCTACTTGACTCCGCTTCTGTCGAGGTTTAGGGGGTTGCGGCTCCGGAGTTAGCGGAGCGCTCGATTCGGTAGCACCCGCTGCCGTTCCAACGAATGTAGTGAACATTGGCCTGTCAGATTGACTTTTAAAATATGTTAAAGCTTAAGATGAAGAGGGCGAGAATTGAAACTTGTCGGTAACACAACAGCAAGGAATTAGGGGCAAATTTGAAAAGGCGAATTAAACAGGCGGGGACGAAAGAACGGAGAATGGCAGTTACCTCACTCAGCAACCAGGATGGCAAGTCGAGTGCTACGTAATAACCTAGAACCTCCTAGATTATATAATACAAAAGGGGCTAATATTTAACCGCCATCACAACGCCTGCCAATTTTGAATGTTTTATGTAAATGTTTCGCCTTATTAACTTTAGACTAATTACCTAACAACATACCATGCTAGGATGCATACTTCATACCTATGTACATGTAGGTATCGTCTATATTTAGGTACACCAGATATTGTAGGTACATATGTAGGTATCTATATACATACCTAGGTAGGTAGGTAGGTACTTTATACATACCTAGGTACATGTAGTTAAGGCATGTATAAAGTACCTACATGTTAGGTATGTAGGTACCTACCTACATATAACAATGAGCTTGGAGTTTCAAGTACCCCATGCATAAAGAAACATCACGGGATTTCCACGTGACGCTTTGAGTCTAAATCCATCTCCAAAAATGCTGACTACCTACCTACCTACATGCGTCGATTAGGCCGTAATGGCAATAAATATCAGGCTAAATTAGTAGACTTAATATTCAAAAGCATATGACACTGATTCTCTATACCATGGATATCATAAGCACGCGACTTCGGGCTTTGTGCCACTATAGTTAAAGACACAACATGTTCTGCTATTGCTGATGCAGCTAATATATATTTCTTTTCCTACAAACTACGTACTTGTAAGAAGATAAACTAATATATGAGTGAATTCGGACATAACGAAAAATGATTACGTTGTACAGCTTTGAGTTGAAATATAAGCGACAAGCATCAGTCCAGCGCTTGGAACTTTCTGATGCAGTCGTTCTGCATTTTCGATATTACAACAAAAGAGCTATGACGCCGTCGCATATGCTGATACCTCATATCACATATCATAAAGAAACTCCTCCGGTGTGCCCCACCTACCAACCCCGGCCGCGAGGCTGAGTCCTCCGCATTACCTCTATAATATACATCTATATGCTGTCCATAACACCATCTAGTTCTATCCTCTACAAGCCAATGGATTTTTTTTTAGAACTCAATGCTCGCTTGCTTATTTAAATCAATTTTTGTTTTCCCACACTCGAACGCCCAAACTGGAAACTTGGGAACGCAAAACGGCAAATATCAGTTTCAGAGGGTCCATAAACCACTCCGGCGTTTTCCTAGCGGGTAGACAATGAGTGCGCTTAGGAAAAGGCCGACAGTAATACCGATAGCAATTTGGATCATCGATGCGGCGACATTGAACACTATCGTATCAAGGGGCTGGCCTTGTGTAATCGTGACCTAGTTAGGGTGTTAGCCGACAATTCAAAAAGGCGGTTAAGAGCGTACGTTGATACTCACAGTACTGGTGCCGTTGACGATTTCCGTGGAATTGTTTAGTTCATTTGCTGTGCTTAACCCGCTCAAAAGACTTCCCGTCGCTGCCAAGCCACTGGGTACCTGTACGAAGATAGCGGGCAAAAGAGCGGCAGCCGCCACGCCATGTCTTAGCCTGGAATATAAATTCGCAAGGACGCCCACAGTGAAGGCCCCTAATGTGTTGGCTATCTGCGGGCTGGCTGCAAATTTGGGGCTGCTGAAGAAGTTCACTATGTATCCGGCAAAAGCAATGACAACCATAACAGGCATCTGCTTCCATTTTGCCTGGTTGACGAAGGCAAGACACAAAGTAAAGATTGGTACAAAGAAAAATCGGTAGTAAGTAGGTATAGGGTTTGGACAGGTCGTTGCCGAAGTGGCGTGAGGATCCATCAAACCGTAGAGTGCGGTTCCAACAGTGA